AACAAACTGAGGGTTCTAGAGGGGAAGGGGGTGGGAGGATGGGTTAGCCTGGTGATGGGTATTAAAGAGGGCACATTCTGCATGGAGCACTGGGTATTATGCAGAAACAATGAATCATGGAACACTACATCAAAAACTAATGATGTAATGTATGGTTATTAAATTAACATAATAAAAAATGTAGCTAAAAGTAATAATAAATAAATAAATAAAATCTAATGATGTAATGTATGGTGATTAACATAACATAATAATAAAAAAGAAAAAAAAAGACGACATTTGATGTAATGACACTGGGTGTTACATACAACGGTTGAATCACTAAATTTTACTTCTGAAACTAACAATACACTCTATATTCATTTCATTGAATAAAAAATGTTTTTGGAAAGGCATAGGGAAAAAAGAAAGCACTAGTCTCTCACGTCTGACTGAACTTGAGGCTTTGTACAATCAGAAAGTGAAAGCTAAGACTATTATGTGTACAACCCTAAGTTTGAAGGTGTGCCTTCTCACACACATACCTTTGTAAAAGAATGCAAAGCATTAAGGAAGTCTTCTCAAGAAACATTGGGTCGCCATTAAATTATACTGACCCAGATGTGACCATCACCATAGTAACCCAGGGCTAAAAATAAAACTAAGAACTTTAATTGAGCTAGCAGAGAATTCAGAGGTCACATACTGCAAGGAATGACCACTCTACAGAATTAGTCCAGGAAAGTCCCTAAACAAACAAACAAACAAACAAAAACCCACCAACATACCAGAAACAACATATCTGGGAGGGAGGAGGAATCTGATAATAGAGGTGTTACAATATATTATCTAATATATTGACTTTTAATCAAAAATTTATGATCTATCCAAAGAAACAGGAACATGTGCAACAGACACAGAGGAAAAAATCAGTCAAAAGAAGATGTCTCCTAAGAGGCACAGATTTCAAACTTTGTAGATAAAGTCTTTAAATCAGTTATTATAAATATTTTAAAAACACCAAACCAGGTCTAAAAAACTAAAGGAAGGGAAATCTGGGTGACTCGGTCAGTTAACCACCTGACTCTAGATTTGAGCTCAAGTCACGATCTTGAGGTCATGGGATGGAGCCCCGAGGCAGGCTCCACAATGAGCCTCCTTGGGATTCTCTCTCTCCCTCTGCCCCTCCCCAGCTCACACTTGTGCGCTCACTCTCTCTCTTTCTAAAAGAAAAAAAAATAAGGAAAATAAATAAAAATTAAAAACTAAAAGAAAATATGTTAAAAAATGTCTCACCAAATAAAGAATATGGATAAAACAATAGATATTATGTATGGACCCAAATAGGAATTCTAGAGTTGAGAAGTATAATGACTGAAATGAAAAATTCACCAGAAGGGCTCAACAACAGATTAGAGCTGATAAAAGTAAAAAATTAATAAATTTGAATATAGGTCAATAGAAATTATGGCATCTGAGGAACGGAAAGAAAGTAGAATGAAGAAAAATGAAAGGAACCCCAGAGACTTGTGGCACAGGACCAAGTGCACCAACATACACATACTGGAGTCCCAGAAGAAGACAAAGCTAAAGGGCAGAAAAATGCTTGAAGAACGAAGCTAAAAACTTCCCAAATTTAAATAAAAATATTAATCTACACATCCAAGAAGCTCAATGAACTACAAATGGAACAAACGCAAAGAGATCTGCACCAAAACACATCATAGACCTACTGACAAAGACAAAGAAAAAATCTTTAAAGTGGCAAGAGAAAATTGATTTTTCACATACAAGAGATCCTCAATAAGGGGCTCCTGGGTGGCTCAGTGGGTTAAGCATCCTACTCATGATTTTGGCTCAGGTCATGATCTCAGGATCATGAGATGGAGCCCCGCATCTGTCGTCACACACTGAAATAAAGTTCTCAGACACCAATCTGAGTGGCCATGCAGGCAGGGAGACCAGCGGCAGCTGAATCCTGCACATAGCTTTTATTTTGTTTTTTATCAGAAAAGCAAGGACAGATACCTCAACGCATGGGAAAGAGTACAAAGGGATGGCAAATGTCTTGAAGCCGTAAAGCAGGCTTACATTCTCCCCTACACATAGGCACACAGAGAGTCAGTCATGGGATAAGGGAGGAGCGGGATGTGTGGGCTAGCAATCACCAGGTGCAGAAAGGGGGGGCTGAGGGTTACATTCTTTTATAGCTCCTAACTTATGCCCTGCCCCTGAAGATTGAGGGATCCTGCTCCTACTGGGCCACTGTGTTCAATAGCCCAAGAACAGGAACACTGCTCACGTTTCAGCTGCTTCCACAGTCACTCTTTAGGGTTTACAATATATTTTCTAAGAATAACTCCACAGCATCAGGCTCTGTGCTGGGCATAGAGCCTGCGTAAGATTTTAATGAGTCCTTCGGGCTGATAGTGATGGACATTAGACAGTCACTTGAATCCAAACAAATGGAGAGAACCAGTCAAAGTAACTATGTAGGTATTACAAAAGACACTGTAAGTATATTTTTGTTTGTAACTCTTGTCTTCTTCTGTTTTAAAAGATTACTGTACAGAGCAATACTTATACAATTGTGTCCGTGGGCTTGTAAGATACAAACATATAATTTTGGGAGGAGGAAGGAAATGTAGGAGTATTAGGTTACGCATGGTTTTAGATATGACATCCTAAGCGTGAGCAACAAAAGAAAAAAAAACTGGACTTCATCAAAATTAAAACCTTTTCTGCTTTAAAGGACATTATTGAGAAAGTGAAAAGACACAGGTTGGTAGAAAATATTTACAAATCACATATCGAGGAGGCACCAGCATCCAGAATCTATTATCAAAACCTCAACAATAAAAAGACAAATCACCCAATTTAAAAATGGGCAAAAGATCTGGAAAGGCATTTCTCCAAAGAAGTTAAGCAGAGGCTCAATAAGCAGAGGAAATGCCGCTCAGCATCACTAGTTAGTAGGGAATTGAAGCCTAAACCACAATGAGATATCACTTCAAACTCCCTCAAAGGGCTAACATACAAAATGTAGAAAATTAAGAGTTGATGATGTGGAGAAATTAGAACCCTCATGTGCAGATTGCTTGTGTGAATCTAAAATGGTGCAGACACTTGGGAAAACACATGGCAGTTTGTCCAAATGCTAAACGTAGATGTGCGACATGATCCAGCAATGCCACAAATGAATATATACCCAAAACCCATGAAAATACACGTTCACGTAAAAACTTACACAGGTATATTTATGGACGCATCATTCATAATGGCAAAAACTGGAAACAACCTAAGAGCCTATCAAATGATAGAGACACAAAATGCAGTATCCGTATAATGGAATATTATTTGCAAAACAGTACCACCATTGGGAGTAATTAACAACATGGAATGAAGGCACAAAGTCACCATACTTGCAACGACCATGTGGGTGAGCCCTGAAAGCATCCTACAAAGGGAAGAATGCAGTCACAAGAGACCACATGTCTGACTTCATTTACATCAAATATCCAGAACAGGCAGATCTATAGAGACAGAGGGTAGATTAGTGTTGGCCAGGGGCAGGGGTAGGGGAGGGTAGCAGGAACGAGGAGGGAATGTTGTGCACAAGAGGAAAGTGTTCTAGAACACCATTGTGGTGGTGCCTGCATGACTCTGTGATTATTCCAAAAAACACTCATCTGTACACTTTTAAAGGGGTCAGTTTTACGGTATGTGAAATATAGTTCAATAAAAATGTAAAACACAAAACTGGGTATTAAAAGTGACAATAACAGAGTATGAGCTCTGCAGCTTGACTCCCTGGATTGGAATCTCAGCTCTGCCACTTACTAGCCAAGCACTTTGGGGCATTTAATTAAACTATCTGCGGTTCAGTTTTCATCTGTAAAATTGGGCAAATGACTGTACTTAACTCATAGTATTAATGTGAGGATTAAGCGAGTTGACACAATCAAAAATGGTTACAAAAATGCATGCCATAAAGGAAGCACCTTCTAAATCTTAACTATAATACAATCTATTACTTCATTATTTAAATCACCTCCCCTTTTCCAAATGGAAACATTGGAACATCTTAAAGGATTTGGAAAAAGAAGTAGATTCAATTTTTTAAATGATGTCCTAAGCACTTCTTTGGCTTCGGTTTTGCTATTCAAAGGACAGAGGTTTAAAGACATGCTCCTTAATTATTATAATTTTCCACCAGAAAAATGTCCTAAGGATTATTACTTCATGTGTCTTCTCTGTATTATGCTCAGGCATAATAAAAAATGCTACTCTGGTTCTAGTGCCGGCCATGATCATGTAGGGAATTTGCATTTACCGAGTGGGTGTTCCATAAAGGTGAGGCCTGGATGCCGCAGAAATGGCCACAATTATAGCTGGGACTCCATAGCCCACGGGGAACATGAGCTTCTTCATGACCCTGCTCATGCTGGAGTAGTTGACCACCGTCAGGTTGCGTGCAGTGAGGAAGAGGTGCAGACCCTCCAGCAGCATCCAGGTGAAGGACACCAGGTAGAGATAGTGTAGGGCACCCGCAGTGATGGCGCACAGCACCTGGGGGAGGAGAAAGGTTTCACCAGGAGGGACTGTCAGGGAGGACGGTGGCCCCAGGGCCTTTCCCATATCTTGCCACAGGGGAGAACTCTCATGTATATAAAGAGGTTAAGAGAAGGCTTCTTTTCTAGTTTTGTCAATGTGAAATAGGCTACTTACCCTTCAAAACTTCCCTTTGGGTCCTTGAGACCCAAAGCCAGTTTATTAAGGTATCAATGCATCATGGCTCCATGAACTGAGCATCCCCTGGGGAAGAGCAGGGGCTCCCCTATGACAATGTCAGTACCTTGATCTCAGTCCAGTCGATGGCCATGAGGAAGAGCAGGTGGGCCAGGAAGAGGCAGATTGAGAGCTGCAGGTGGAGTGAGGTGCTGGTGTTCTGGATGGCTTTGCACAGCAGGAAGGTGAGGGCTGCCAGGAGGAGGCACAGCAGAGAGAGGCCCAGCCCCAGGTAGGTGATCACAGCCAGCACGGGATCCTCCTCCTGGGTCCCAGCAAAGAGAAGCAAAGAGGACATCACAGTCACATTTTCCTGCTCTGGCATAATGATTCTTCCATTATTTTTTATTTTATTTTTTGGCATAGCAACATCAAGAATGGAGGAACCAGGTTAATTTGTTATGTTATTCGGGAAATTCCTCCAGGTTCAGAATGCTAGAATTCTATGGGATTCTTTTTTTTATTATTATTATGTTATATTAATCACCATATATTACATCATTAGTTTTTGATGTAGTGATCCACAATCCATTGTTTGCATATAACACCCAGTGCTCCATGCAGTACGTGCCCTCCTTAATACCCATCACCAGGCTAACCAATCCCCCCTCCCCCCTCCCCTCTAGAACCTCAGTTTGTTTTTCAAAGTCCATCGTCTCTCATGGTTCGTCTCCCCCTCCAATTTCCGCCCCCCTTCATTTTTCCCTTCCTACGATCTTCTTTTTTTTTTTTTTAACATATAATGCATTATTTGTTTCAGAGGTATGGGTCTCTGATTCAACAGTCTTACACAATTCACAGCGCTCACCATAGTACATACCCTCCCCAATGTCTATCACCCAGCCACCCCATCCCTCCCACCCCCCACCACTCCAGCAACCCTGTTTGTTTCCTGAGATGAAGAATTCCTCATATCAGTGAGATCATATGATACATGTCTTTCTCTGATTGACTTATTTCGCTTAGCATAATACCCTCTAGTTCCATCCACGTAATTGCAAATGGAAAGATTTCATTTTTCTTGATGGCTGCATAATATTCCATTGTATATGGGATTCTGACCTCATTCAGATCCACCAAGGATCAAGGGATAGAGAGGGAAAAAAGATGGCAGAGGAGTAGGGACTCTATTTCAACCGGTCACATAAATTGAGCTGAATATCTACCAGACCATTCTGAACACCCACAAAATCAGCCTGAGAGGTAAGAGGATAGATCTGGATCTCTACAAACAGAATATCTCCGGCGTTTGGTTTTGAGGTATGAAGCGGAGAGCCATGATTCCGTGGGCAGATATCAGAATATAAATGGAACGGGGAGGAACCCTCCATGATCTTGCTCAGGAAGGCAAAAGCCTCCCACTCTGGGGACCAGGCACAAACACACAGACCAGTAGTGGTGGGGAAAAGACTTTAGGCAAGCCCCCCAGACTGAAACCTGGAGCTACAGGGACAGGTGAGCAAAACAGGGGCGGCTTGCAGTTTTAGAAGTACAAAGGGCAGAGACGTGTCCAGCCCTGGAAGCGACAGCTGGGAGTGCTGCTGTGGGGTGCACAACGCAGGACGCCACGGTTTTTAGCACCACAGACAAAAATGGAGACAGTGTGGCCTGGAGAGCTCACTGAAGAACAGACTGCGATTTCTCCATTCTGAGACAGAGGTTTGGAAATGGACACTTCTGCTCTGACTCTCAGAAGAGACGTGGAAAACCGCCAGGGAAAGCCACCAGAGAACAAAAGCCCCAAAAACCAATTTTCACTGAGCCCATCCCCCCCCCCACAGGGGGCAGGGCAACTCTGCCCAAACAGAGTTGCCTGAGTAACAGTGCAATGGGCCCCTCCCCTAGAAGACAGGCTGGGAAAACAAGAGGGCAACAACCCTAAGGTCCCTAGAAAACAGGTGCATCTTGCTTGGGTTCTGGTCAATAACTTGGACTCTGTACATTCCCTCAACCACCCCTCAACAGAATGACTAGGAGAAGGAACCCCCAACAAAGAAAAGAATCAGCGACTGTGGCCTCTGCCACAGACCTAATGGATATGGATATAACCAAGATGTCAGGAATAGACTCCAGAGTAACAATTCTGAAGGCAATATCTAGGCGTGAGAAAAAATATTAACGACAGTATAGAATCTCTAAGGGCAGAAATGAGATCTAATCAGGCCGAACGTAAAAATGCTATGAATGAAATGCAGTCTAAACTGGATACTCTGACTGCCAGGGTAAACAAGGAAGAACAAACTAGTGAGCTAGAGGATAAGATGATAGCAGAGAAGGAAACTGAGGTGGCATGGGAAAAATAAATTAAAACGTAAGGGATCAAACTGAGAGAGATTAGTGACCCAGTGAAACATTCCAATAGAATGTTTCAGAATTATTGGGATCCCTGAGGGCTTGGAGGGAGAGAGAGGACTAGAAAATATCTTTGAGCAATTTGTGGCTGAGAACTTCCCTAATCTGGGGAGTGAAACAAACATTCGCATCCTAGAGGGAGAGGACCCCTCCCAAGATCAAGGAAAACAGGCCAATGCCCCGGCATGTAATAGTAAAAGTCGCAAATCTTAGAACCAAGGAAACCATCTTAAGGGCAGTTAGGGGGAAGAGATTCTTTATGTACAGAGGGAGGAACATCAGAATAACGTCAGACCTATCCACAGAGACCCGGCAAGCCAGAATGGCCTGGCAAGACATATCCAGGGTACTAAACGAGAAGAACATGCAGCCAAGAATACTTTATCCAGCAAGGCTGTCATTTAGAATGGTTGGAGAGATGCAGAGCTTCCAAGACTGGCAGAAACTGAAAGAATATGTGACCACTAAGCCGGCCCTGCAAGAAATATTAAGGGGGTTCTATAAAAGGAGAAAGACCCCAAGAGAGATATAGAAAAGAAATCAAGGTCTTCACAGGCAACATGATGACAGTTAATTCATATCTTTCAATAATCACTCGACGTGAACGGCCTAAATGCGCCCATGAAAAGGCACAGGGTTGCAGATTGGATAAAAAGACAGGGCCCATCCATATGCTGCCTACAAGAGACTTATTTTGAACCTAAAGATACATCCAGACTGAAAGTGAAGGGATGGAGATCCATCTTCCATGCCAATGGGCCTCAAAAGAAAGCTGGACTGGCAATTCTCATATCAGACAAATTAGATTTTAAACTAAAGACTGTAGTTAGAGACACAGAATGACACTATATCATTCTTAAAAGGTCTATCCAACAAGAAGATCTAACAACTGTAAATATCTGTGCCCCCAACACGGGTGCAGGCAACCACATAAGCCAACCGTTAACCAAAATGAAGAGTCATATTGATAATAATACGTTAATTGTAGGAGACCTCAATACTCCACTCTCAGCAATGGACAGATCATCTAAGCAGAAAATCAACAAAGGAACAAGACCTTTGAATGACACACTGGACCAGATGGACCTCATAGATATATACAGAACATTCCACCCTAAAACAACAGATTACTCATTCTTCTCAAGTGCACATGGAGCTTTCTCCAGAATAGACGACATACTGGGTCACAAATCAGGTCTCAACTTATATCATATCAAAAGATTGAGATTATTCCCTGCATATTCTCAGACCATTATGCTTTTTTTTATTCTCTATGTTAGTCACCATATAGTACATCATTAGTTTTTGATGTATTGTTCCATGATTCATTGTTTGTGTATAACACCCAGTGCTCCAAGCAATACGTGCCTTCCTTAATACCCATCACCAGACAAACCCATCCCACAACCTCCTCCCCTCGAAAACCCTCAGTTTGTTTCTCGGAGTCCACAGTCTCTCATGGGTCATCTCCCCATCCAATTTCCCCCCCTCCTTCATTTTTCCCTTCCTTGTCCTAAGGTCCTCCATGCTATTCCTTATGCTCCACAAATAAGTGAAACCATATGATAATTGACTTTCTCTGCTTGACTTATTTTTTTTATTTTGTTATGTTAATCACCATACAATACATCATTAGTTTTCGATGTGGTGATCCACGATCCATTGTTTCCATAAAACACCCAGTGCTCCATGCAGTATGTGCCCTCCTTAATACCCATCACAGGGCTAACCCATCCCCCCACACTCCTCCCCTCTAAAATCCTGTTTGTTTCTCAGAGTCTGTAGTCTCTCATGGTTCATTTCTCCCTCCGATTTCCCCCCTTCATTTTTCCCTTCCTTCTCCTAATGTCCTCCATGCTATTCCTTATGTTCCACAAATAAGTGAAACCATATGATAATTGACTTTCTCTGCTTGACTTATTTCACTTAGCATAATCTCCTCCAGTCCCATCCATGTTGATGTAAAAGTTGGGTATTCATCCTTTCTGATGGCTGAGTAATATTCCATTGTATATATGGACCACATCTTCTTTATCCATTCATCTGTTGAAGGACATCTTGGCTCTTTCCACAGTTTGGCTATTGTGGACATTGCTGCTATGAACATTGGGGTGCATATGGCCCTTCTTTTCACTACATCTGTGTCTTTGGAGTAAATACCCAGGAGTGCAATTGCTGCGTCATAGGGTAGCTCTATTTTTAATTTTGTGAGGAACCTCCACATCAATTGATGTAGAAAAAGCATTTGACAAAATACAGCATCCTTTCCTGATTAAAACTCTTCAGAGTGTAGGGTTAGAGGGAACATTCCTCAATATCATAAAAACCATCCATGGAAAGCCCACAGCGAATATCATTCTCAATAGGGAAAAGTTGAGAGCCCTTCCCTTAAGATCAGGAACATGACAAGGATGCCCACTCTC